TAAAGTGCCACTTTGTATTAATCAAAAGGTCTTTTTATCGTTGACTTTCTTCTAGAAAATTATGGCTTGTGTGACAAGTAATATGATACTGATTGTTGTCATGAAATGGGATTAATGTAAATGCACATGTGATGACCATTGACTATTTCAATAGATCTGTGCATAGCACAAATAGGTACTCTATGATTAATTCTATCAAGACTCACTTTCGGACAACTTCTATGATATTTTAACATAAAAGAAATGAAATTTTTCGAAGAATCTAATATATCGACAGCTCACATTATTTCAGTATTGTTTTTTTATAATTTGATATTATTCTTACCCATTAGTCTAACACGATTAAGTAATTCAAATTTAACATTTTCCTCATTATTTTTTTCATAGCATGATTTAATTGTTTTTCGTACAATTTGTTCCCATTCATCTTCTTTTTTTTTATCATCATATATATATGCACCACCACTTGTATCAATTTCTTGAAAACCAACTGCAATTATATCAGGAATACAAATTTGGTTACTTTTATTATTATTATCTGTTACTTGATAAAGCCATTCTTCAAGTAAAATATTTGGTGGTACTTGTCGATTGTTAACATTAAATGTTCCGACAAGTACATTAAATTGTTTATAACAAGTATATTCATCTTCACGTTCTTTTAAACGTATTTCTAAACGTTTTGATGAATTCGACATGAACAAAATATACTAATCATCTACAAAATCTGTTTTTTTTCTTCGAAAAAAAATACAAAAATTAAATAAATTTAACTTTCAATCGTCTTCTTTTTTTTTTGTTTATTTTGTTTTCTTCATACAAGATACAGTTACAGAAAGAAAAAAAAAAAAAAAGAGCATGGTTATAAATTTATACATAGAGTGACTAGTTTGTTTGTTATTTTAAATTGAAATTTTTATGAAATGATGAAGAAACACCATTTATTTGTTTGAATGAATAATGATATGAACGTTGATGAATATTATTATTTGTATCATTGTTTGATAAAGAATGTTTATTATTCTTAGAATAATGACTAAAAACAAAACAATTAAGATTACATTTTCAAATAAACAAATATATTTACTTGTCATCACGTGATGAAGAACGTGATCGTCGTTTTTTATCTTTTTTTCGATGATTATTTGATGTATGGCTACTATGATGTCGTTTGTCTTTTTGATGTCTATGTTTTTTACGTGATGATGATCTAAAATCAAAAATATTTATTTAGAAAAATAAATAAGTTTATATATATATATACCGAGATCGTGATTGACTACGATGAGATATTTTCTTTTTCTTTTGAGAATGATGAATTGGAGAACGAGACAATGATTGTGATGATGATCTAAATAAAGAAAACTTTTATTCTCGTATACGTTACTTCTTATTTTAGATATTAAATCTATCGTGAAAATTTCAAGCGGATGTCTATCGAACCGCCTCCTACAGAATTGATTCCTCATATAGTACATACACTTTGCATTTTATTTAAAGTACATCTACAAAAAGAATTATCAAGTCTGTAAATCTTATTATTCAGAAAATTCCTTAGGGCTTACAGATAAGCGAATTTTTTTTTTTTTTTGAGAAATTGATATATAGTTTACGAAGAAAAATAAGGATTGTAAGTGTTAAGGGGAGCCCGCTTTCCTGAGGCAAAAAATTTTTTTTTTCGTGTAAAGGTGTATCAAGGTCCCCTCTATGTGTGCTATAAAAATCAGAACCATCAAAGGTCGGGAAGTCTCTGAAAAACCAGGTTTTTTGGACACCTATGCGTTAAAAAAAATTTTTTTTTTTAACGTAAAGTTATATTATGATATGGTATACCTATACTTACGTATAAGCGGAAAAAAAATTTTTCTACAAGTTTTTTATTTTGCCTTTTTCTCGAAGCTAGTTTTTTGGGTATCAAAAACCACTTTTCCCCCTTTTNTTGGGTAGCACATATCTGAAGAAAACTTCATCCGTTTAAGCTGAAACTTTCAGGAGATAATAAGGACCATAGGTAGTGGCGTAACCAGAACAGTGGCGACTCGCTGGCGGTGGTAGGGCAGTGGAAGGTGGCGCCACTCGTTTTTTGCTTCCAATTTTTTAATTATGTGGTATTAAGACCTAATATTTTTTTCTATAATCTAGTCCTGACATGTACTATATCTAACAGAAATGTCAGGTCTTAATAACACATAAACAAAAAATTAGAAGCAAAAACCAGTGGCGCCACCTTCCACTGCCCTACCACCGCCAGCGAGTCGCCACTGTTCTGGTTACGCCACTATTCTTAACATACATTTTACTTATATAATCATAATCCTATTAATAATCTTCATCTATTTTACATACTTTATAGTACATGTTGCTCAGCAGACACTCACTATGAAGCAATATCCAGAATGCACTTAAATGCATGGCCACAGTAGTTCCAATGCTAGCTATAGTATACATGCAAATTTCGAAAATATATTCCGTCGCCTGGCTGTCCACTGTGGTCCAGGCCCTCTCTGTGAATATAAACAACTTTAATTTCTTTCACTGGCGATTATTCATAGACTGATAAGAGCATTCACGTATTGTTTTATCCTGCACTTTTATGAAGAAGCTTGATGATTCGATTTACATATTCTACAATCATCGATTTGCTTCTATAAAGTCAAATAAGTAAAATCTTTTCATTTAACATAGTGTCATATATGGAAGAACTGTAACAGTTTGACGTCATCGTACGCTTGACTAATTCTGAATATTCATTGAATCAAAATCAAAAAAATGTCATGAGCAGAAATTTATTGTACTGATTGTGCAGCAACATTAAAAATATTAGCTCAACAAATTCGCACATATTTTTGCTTTTGCAAGCGGATATTCAGTTGGATGCTGAGCCATTTTCACACAATACACATTAATGAGATCCATATTGTTTTGAAAACCGTAGACATAATTTCCTTGCTGAAAACTCTGCTGGAGAGCTTTTTTTTCTTCTGTGAGCCAAATGCTGTTTGGTGAAACTCTTGTACCAAGAATCGGTACAGCACGACCTGAAATAGAATCAATGTCCATCATTGATTTCGATTACATGACGTAAGAGTTGAGAAAAGAAGTTTGTAATGATCAGTTTTTTCCCACTTCTGACTATTTGTTGAGCCAATCTTACAACTCCAAAAATAATATGGTGAAAACATCTCGAAGCGAAGAAAATGATTTCAATGAAAAGAGAATAATCGGTCAAATGAATACATTCTTGTCTTAAAATGAACTTGCCTAGATTGAAAAAAGAAGTTGTTTTTAGGTGAATTTTAAATAAATAGAAACTTCGGAATAATTCACACTCTCAAAAAAAAAACATCAGTAAATCGTTGTTTGGAAAATATTTTCGATTGTTTTATGTAGGAGGTTACTAAACAAAAGGATTTGTCTTTCGAGTAGAATTCTCGAAAACTCTCTTCATTGATATGCAGCCCAAAAATTAATTTATGATGCATACAGAGCAATCCGGAAACACTTTATTCAGAAACAACATCTATTTGCTTAGTTTAATAGAGGAGATACTTGACAATGAGTTATATATGATTTGAACTTTTAATGTATCAATGTTTTCGACGAAATTCTATGCTTGACAACAGAAAATCGTTCATTGAACCCTTAACTGCAGGATGACTAAAATATTTCTGAGAAGTGAATTTAAAAAAGTAGTACTCATTAGAAAGAAAAACCACTACAGTGTAGAACACGAACCGAAAGATGTTTCCAATTCTAAAGTGAAGTCAGTATGGGAGACAAAAATCATAGAGTATGTTTGTTAAAAATACACTAATCAAATCAATTTACCTCTTGTTTTTTCTGCATATGTTCTTGAAAGTTTTTTCCACTGTGCTCGACATGCTTCTGCAATAGGTGATACGTCTTCTTTTTGTGGCCACTTGCACATTTGTCTTTTGATAGCAGCATTCGCAGGTAATTCGATTACCATTTCAAGCGTCACACCATTGTGATAACGAGCTATTTCAGCAGCCACTTCAGGACTCTCATCAACTCCGAAACCGGACCAAAAGAATTTAGTAGGAGGATCTCCCGGAGGCACATAAAGGTTATCTATAAAACTATCGGTTACTATTCGATTTCTTCCCAACTGAATTAGAATTTCAAGTGCACGCTCGTATGTCATTAGCCTATATTTCAAATAATAAAAATAAAACCGATTTTGTTCATTTTCAAATTATTGATGCCTTTTTTCTAAAAATCTTACGGATAGTTCGCTGAACGGAAGCCCCGTTTATCTTCATCGATATTGATCTCATGCACAGATGCTGTGCAGTAATAGATGAGAAGAATCGCCAAGAATATAATCGGCAGCGACGAGAAGGTCATACTTTCGAGTAACCAATTTCAATAAATGCTTGTGTTTTGTTTTTCGATCAGATCTCTAATTTAAGCGAACGATCAAGAGAAAATTGCATTTTTTGCAGCTTAGCAGGATTTTTGATAGATTTCTGTCTCCTATATCACATTTGTATTGCCAAATAATAATTTACTATTGCAATACTTTTCAATTATCTGAGAGATTAGCAATGGGAGGTTGGTGAAAAAAAAAATTAAATTATTTTTCTCTATTTTCTAGGGGTGTAATCAGAATTTGCGTATAGGGGAGCTAAGTCTTGATTGTAACTTATGGTAGGTAGGCAAACTTGATGTTTGAACTCAAAACTCAGGGATTAAAACTTTCGATCCTTCATAAGTAAGAATACTTTATTTGGCATAACTATACATTTTTCTGCATCTGCAAACATAAAAACTTTCACAATTAGAGAGAACGATTACAATAGACATCAAAGCATTTCTTGAACGATCAAGAATATGCAGATAGATAATACCGCCTAAAGCAGCTCCCTTCGAAAACAGTTTTCACCAACCAAAAGTATAGTTGAATGTGCGTAAAATGGTACCTATGTCGTTGGTCGACAAATTTTTGTCGACACAGCATTTTGTAAGAAGAACATTTGGTTGACACAGTATTTCATCAATAAATTCAGATGAAGCACAGATGGGTGTGAGTGTGTAGTGCGGATGTAAGTGTGGGGGTGGGGAGAGTATTGGGTACGGGAGTTGGTGTGAGCAGCAGTGGACAATTGGACCAGTCGATGGGGAAATTGTTCCCGTTTATAGAGAAATCCTTCACCCCACATAAAGTCGTGCATGTCAAGGAGAAATGGAAAGAACGAATATAAACACATATGTATCTTTTTCTGGTCTTCTACATGCATTTGAATTCAAGCAGAAATCGTTTCTTTTAAGGAGAAATGCTTTTTCAAGCAGAAATTGTTTCTGTCGAGGAGAAACGATTTTTGAAGCAGAAATGAAAAGAAAAAATTGTTTGAACTAAAATGTCATTCCTTATAAATCAGCAGCATTGCTATCCACATATCATCAGACTGAAACGCAAAGTCATCGGTGTTTACCAGCGCTATTAATTTAACTTTCTTCTTCTCTTTTATTAAAGAAAAGACATGAGAGAATATTTACATTTACAAAATACAGTTAGATCATTGAAAACGTTTTTACTCTTTAAACACAAGATACATAAATTCTTTATCTGATAAAATAAAGATAAGCGAATTCTTTGTTTCTAAACACTACAGACCAATTAAATAATAAAGATAGATTTCTTTTCCTGAAAATCTGTACTTTTATTTCGATATAGATGCCTCCAAAAAGCTGTAGTATCACACATACAAATGAAATATACGCATAAGCTTTTATGTACACATCTTTTCATATTTCATCCACATGTTTTAACAATATCACATACAAAACTACATCCAATGGAAGGCAAGAAATTTGATAAACACATCCTGCTCTTATATTAAAGATTTATCTATCTACCTATCACAAACAGAAATCTTTCTTTCTTTTCGAATTCATCTTTCATCTTCAAAAGTACACAATTTATTCATCTTTATTCCGACAAAATAAAGATTCCGTTACATTTTATATTTATAAACTAAACATTTCATTTTGTTACACGCACCGCCTTTCACTTGATTCACATTTCACCTAAATCATTTCATCGCTTTTCTTTCTTTTCTGATATCATTCATGATTGCACTCACTTTTCCCCCTGTTATGCACCCTGGATCATGTCTTTCTTTTCTTCATATATCTCTCACTTCATGTCCCCCGCTCTCTATACATATATATGTTAAACATATTAAGCGAACCGTGTTATGTGGTGTGGAAGGTTCACCGATCATGTCAATCTATCCATTATTTGTTGTTCTCCATTTTTCTTCAATAAAGATTCATTGCAAGCCAATCCTCTAATACATTTATCCTTATTTTACAATTATAAATAATAGATTTCAGTTTTTCTTTCATAAACTAAATTTAAAAGTCTCCAATGTACCAAAGCTATTTCCATTTCTACCAGTCACAGCAGAAAAGCTTGTAATATTTCTTATATGAAACGCATTCCTTAGGAACCAACGTATTCCTCCTCCTACTTCTCATTAGGCCAGAACGCGTAACACAATTGCTACCTGCTTAAGTCTTTTTTACTTCCACTTGTAAAGGTAGAAATCCATAAATAATTTCTCCTTCAATAGTTTACATTTCTACCGAAAAAAAATCTATTTCTACTAGCACTTGTCCGTAAAGCGAAAAAAGAAAATGATCCATATCACTCTAACACTTTTTGACTTCTCCATGTGAAGATAGAAATGGATGAACAATGTCTCCTGGAAATTTTTGCATTTCTGCTGAGAAAAATCCATTTCTGCTAGAAATTGGCCCTAAAGTGAACAAAGAAACTGATCCATATCTCTCTAACACGCTTTGACTTCTCCTTATGAAGGGAGAAATGGACGAACAATTTCTCCTGGAAAATTTTATATTTCAGCTGAGAAAAATTCATTTCTCCGAGAAAGTATCCTTAGGGTGAAAAAACAAAATGATTCATATCTCTCTGTCTTTTTGATTTCTCTTTATGAAGGGAGAAATGGATCAAGAGTTTCTCCTTAAAGAAATTTTATTCATTTCTGCTCATATTGTAACAGTAATATGATCGATTTCTCCTTATATCTTATACATTTCTCCTTGTGAGAGTAGAAATGGATTATAGATTTCTAGTGAAAAATTTTTTATTCCTGCTGCAAAATATCCATTTCTACTAGAATTTCTTCTTATAGTCAAAAAATATCTCTCTAAGTCTTTTTGATTTCTGCTTGTGAAGGGAGAAATGGATGAACAATTTCTCTTTGAAAATTTTACATTTCTCCTGAAAAGAATCCATATCTACCAGAAAGTCTCCTTAGAATGAAAAGGGAATATCATCGATATCTCTCTAAGTCTTTTTGACTTCTTCTTGTGGAGGGAGAAATGCATCAAGAATTTCTGCTTGAAAAATGTATTGATATAACGGCTGTGGTTGTTTTTATAAAGCATTTCGTCTTGACTTTGTGAGGGGTGAAGCATTTCTGCTGTAAATGGAACGATTTCTCGATTTTGGAGGATATTGTCCAGCCCTCCTATTGGGAGGACAAAAAATAAACAAAAAAAAAAGGTCGGTTGACGATGCTCATAATTAGAAAAAGCATCAAAATATAATCTTGATGATACATTTCGATTGAACAGTTAACTTTCAGCAACAATCAAACTTGATTTTCTTGTTATTACTCGTAAACTATTTTGTGATTTATTATATATAGGAATGATCGAAGCGATTTTTATAATGAATATGTATAAACATTAGATTCGGTTCAAAATCATTAAAACTTGATATGATATTCATCAAGTCTTGTGTTAAACCTAAAAGGTTTGGCCTTCTGATGCGAAATTTTTTGTTTTGTTATATAGAATTTACATATATTTTATAGCACCAGCTCTTTCTGTGTTTTGCTAGAAAGACTTTTCTTTTCAGTTTCAGAGATTAAATCAATTTCTTTGAAGTTTAACAAGTTTTTTTTTTCTTAGAGAATATTGTATCGATTTGATAAAGCTACTAGCACATATCTTTGATACATACCATATCTAATTTTCCTAACATATTCGTTTATTAGTAAAACTATCTTTTTCCTGATGTTTATAGACATAGCAATTTATTTAAAGTCTATCAAACAAACTTCTAAGAATCCTACAAATAAATACGATGGGCACATCTTCACCCGTTGAAGACATCTTAGTATTTTACTTCCCATCTGTCTTTTAGAAGATTCTATACTGATCAGTATTTATAATTCCCAAGGGAGAAAAAGCAGACCCTGGATCCCCGGATCCTGGTGGATCTTGTTGGATCCTGATGGATCCTAATGGATCCTAAGGAATTGTAGAATAAATTATTTGAACTGTGTCGAAGAAAAAGTGGAAGAAACTGATCCTTATCGATGCTAGTGTTATTTAGTGTTCCATGAAATTAAATGAAAAAAGGGCAATGTATCTTCAGACTTTGTTACTAACAACCCAGGACGATGATTACGACCGCTGTAGCGACCAAAAACGATAACGTATACTGTCGTTTCATATAGTTTACGACCGTAAATAGACGTAAATTAACGTTTTGTTAGCGACAGTATTACGACCGTTTTCTATCGCATGGTATACGATTATCAACGGTCGTAAAACAGTCTGAAAATCGAATATCCGATCGTTTACCATCATTTACGATACGATGAAATACGGCCGTAATACTATCCCTGCCAAACAGGTGAAAAACGCTCTAAAACTGTCATTTACGACCAAGCTTGTTTGACCTGGGAAGGGAACCTCAATAAAAATGCATTCCATTTGAGTTTATATTTGGTCCGTATTTAGAGCTTATGTGGTGTAGACAAAAATCGTTGAAAGATTTCTCACACTATACCTTTCTTCTGAAGTCATGATCCTTTTACAGAATTACCAGTGTACAACCGGGGATTACAAGAAAAATCAAATGAAGGAATTGCAGTTCGAAATTTAACCGAAACATGGATCTGGCGGTTCTTTTAATATTTTGAAAGTTTCAGAGAAAATAGATGATTTACTACATAGATAACAGGCTTGTAAACAAGATCTTTTTTCACAAAAGATTCGAGAAAATCCGATTTTTATCAACATTCTACCTCTTAAGAAATCGTCCATTTTTGATTAAACTTTCAGGATACTATTAGAACCACATGGTTAACGTTCAGGCCAAATTTCAAACTGAAATTCTTTGATTTGATTTTTCTCGCAATTCCCTGCAGTAGGCTGAAAGGCCAGTAAAACGATCATAACTCCAGAAGATAGGCTTAATGGAAGAAATCCTTTTCGGATTTTTATCTGCGCTATAAGCTCAAATCATAAACACAATATGAACTTAAATGGCACGTATCAGTTGGTGAGGTTCCCTCGTAGGAAGAAAAAGCAGATCCAGGAGTTTGAAATGCGCATATGTCTCGGTAAGTTTTGATATATCATGATGGATTTCGCGTGTTTTGGGACCCAGCATGATCTACGCTTCCTTCATGGATTTCATATTCTTGTAGTACCTAATAGCTTCTGTTGCATTCTGATTGTCTCTGATAGATTCTAATGGATTCTGTTGAATTGTAGTCGATTCTGGTAAGTTGTGACAGCTTTTGGCACACTTTTACAAATCTATTGTACAATCTATTAGGGCTCAAGGATCCACTTGGATCCACTTTTGTCTGTTGGTCAAAGGGTGTCAGAATTTAAAGCCATCTGATATTGTAGTCTCAATCCTTTTTTTTCTATATCAAGCCCAGAAGAATCTCTCAGAATCCTGAATCTGAAGATTTCTGTTCTGTTTAATTCAGAATCCTGCTTCGAATTGTGGTAGTACAGACTTGCATGATGTCTCTCTTTGAAAAAGGATCCTATTCAAGATCCCTTCAAATTCCTATAGTGATTTGTTATCATGTAAGGATGAAAGATCCTATTAAGGGGACCCCTTTCCTGAGCCAAAAAATTTTGTTTCGATTTTTTTTTGTTTTCGTGTAAAGGTGTATCAAGGTCCCCTCTATGTGTGCTATAAAAATCAGAACCATCAAAGGTCGGGAAGTCTCTGAAAAACCAGGTTTTTTGGAGACCTATGCGTTAAAAAAAATTTTTTTTTTTTAACATAAAGTTATATTATGATATGGTATACCTATACTTACGTATAAGCGGAAAAAAAATTTTTCTACAAGTTTTTTATTTTGCCTTTTTCTCGAAGCTAGTTTTTTGGGTATCAAAAACCAGTTTTCCCCCTTTTTCTCCGCCATTTCAAGTCCAATCGGGCTGAAATTTTTTTTGGTGAGACTTCAAGTGATTTGGGTTGGCCATTTTTTTTTTTGGATACCGTCTACTAATCAAGTTTGGCAGGCTTTGCAAAATTTTTAGGATCCAAAAAACCTAGAGATTTTGGGAAGTCTTCAGTATTTTGGTTCTTCAGCCCGAAGTATTTGGAATTTTTGAAAAAAAAAAAACGCTCACCCCATTGGGTCCGTCTACCCACAGTAAAAATTTCAGCTCAAACGGATGAAATCTGTGGATTTGTGGGGGGGGGGGGGAACTTTTTGACTTTGGGGTTTCTGGAAGCCCATGTAGGTGAGGTCTGGCAAATTTGTGCCCATGATAACTTTTGCTCTAATGCTCGAGACCTATCTACCCTGAAAGTTTCAGGAATTTTCGATCGGCCGTTTCTTAGAAAGGCCGGAAAAGGGGGGGGGGATCCCCTTAAGTGAAAGCTATCTGACTCTTCTCCTCTCTCGTAACAAACATTAGGTATTAGAATTGAAGGCGATTGAGTATAACTCCTCTAGCAGCCGAAGATAATAAGTGTCAGACTTCTTTTCTTATATAACAAACTTATTTCTCAGTTAAATCTATGATTTGAACAATAATTATAGTAAGAGATTTTTAAAAAACCGTATGAAAATCACGTATGTCAGTAAAAAAAGAGATTCTATTTCAAAATAAGACAGACCTTTGTCAAGGTATCACTCCCACACTTGATAAAATACTGTGTACTGAATAAAGTTTCAATGAAAATGTGCACAAATTTGTTTTTTTTTACATATTTAGCTGAATGAAATCAACGTTGAATATGAGGATGTCTCTAGCAAGAATATTTGGATCATAAAATTTAATTTACCTGCTTCGAGAACTACTTCGTTTTCTTCGATGATGATGACGATGATGATGTCGATGATTATTTGTTGTTGATGATTCACGTGAACTTCCATGATCATGTTTTTTACTTGTTTTTCCATTTATAGTTGCTGTTGTATTTATTATTTCGTCTGTAGTTGTTGTAATCACAGAAGGTACTAAAAAACAAAAAAAGAAAATGTTAACAAATAAAAGTTTATCGTTTTTATTTGTTTACCTTCTGGTTGTACAATAGTTGGTGTTGAAAAAGAAATCACTGTTGATGGCATAGAATTTTGTATAATTGGTTGTTGAGCTGGTGAATCATTACCTAATTCAGGTCGTAATTTTTTTCTTTCATCTTCTCGTTTTTCACGAAATGAATTTACAATTTTTTCGAGTTCATCAAGTGGTTTCTAAAAAACGAAGTCAAATATAAATCAAGATATTCTTTTTTTTTTTCTTACTGGTCGATGTTTATATAATCGAACAATAGCAATCATAATATAACGAATTTCTTCAGGTTGTGCACCAAATATAAGATACCATTGTGGAGTTTTCGGTAAAGGAATCTATTTAATTGAAAAAAGAAAATTAATCAGATATTAAAAACTTTGATTTATTATATGTCTTACTTGAAGAGTTCGTGCTGCTAAATCAATACATGCACAAGCAATTGTTTCGGGCGTAAAACGTAGAAAAATATCCGTACGTAAACTATCATTCATATAATTCCTAAAATGAACAAAAATAAAATCATAGATTTGTTTTTTTTCTTTTGATTTATCAATCAATAAAATGAATCTATTCTATCAAGTATCGGTATTTCGGTAATTAGGCCAAAAAAAAAACACAGAAGTATGCTCTCAATATATCATTTTAAAATAACAAATCGTTTGTTATGTTTGAAATGAACAAAGCTGAAAGAAAAGATTTTTCTATAAGCTAATTTATAAAATATCATAAGAACGAAAGATTTTTCTTGTCTATGATTATTAATAAATTTTAAAATTTGAGCTTAATAAAACAGACATAAATTAATAATTCTTCAGAGATTTACAATCTCATGGCCAATTATATTCAGTTAACAATATCATAGATTATGTTTTCAATTGTTAAAAGATTTCATATTATGTCGAGAATTCAGAAAAAGGAAAATTACCACAATTTTCAAAAGCTCGAAAATCATACAACAGTAAGGATCAATAGTTTTTAGAAATATCAGAAATTACATAATTTGATGGAGTGCCGAATTATTTAAAAGACAAATACTTGAAATTTCCCTTATTTAGAAGTCTGAATACTGCTGATTATGCCACAAAGTACTAATGATGTACCCGAAAAGCATTCATTGAAGAAATAGCGTGATATTTTTGTTGAGTTAGTATACAAATGTGCAGCATGTGACAGACAAAAAAAACACACGCAGTGAAAAATTATGAAGAAACAATGAAATACTAAACTTTTGAAAATCTTATCTACAAAATCAAAGAATGAATATTGTTCATTATAACAGAAAATTTAGTTCTATCCGACATAAGAATCAAGATGATTTTGCTAAACTATACACTAGCCGTTACACTTTTCATTTAATTTTACACGGAAAAGAGAGGAATGAAAGTAACGGCAGAATTTCTGGTTAGAGGAAGACAAATGAGCCCTACTATAGAATCATTGTTAGGAACAATTTTTAAAATTTCTATATTTTACGAGAAGAAAAATCTTTTGCTGATTCTATACACGTCCAACTATCATTCCTTCGCAGCAGCAGCTATTAGGACGTATTCCTTTTCATTTTCTGTATAACGTAGAAAAACATATTTCAATTGAATCGACAATAAATCTCAAACGTTCTCTATGCTCTATTATATGTTAAAACATGTGTTATGATTTCTAATAATAAATAAAAGATCTCGTTATTTTTCAACCAAATCTGATTAAAAATCTTTTTTTTCCAGCTTTGTTCATTTTCTAAAAAAGAAAAAGAAAAAGAAAAAAAAACCTCTAATATAATTTAAATCAAACATAACAAACAAATTGTGTTCGTTAAAACTAGAAAATAGAGAGAACATATTTCATATGAATAAATTTTTAAAAGAACAATAATACCGACCGATACTTGATCATATCCAAAATCAAAGTCGAGTGTTGATTAAAAACGACCCGACGTCGTATGTGCATATATTCCGGTTGAATAAACGGTTATATACGCATGATTCCATTAAATCCTGGACGAAAGACAATAAAACAAGTTAATTTTAAAAAGTCTAGATTTAAATAAGAAAGAAAGAGGGAAAATACGATGAAATATCCATCAATAAATTTTCTCCATACTTCCTTTTTGTTTTTTTTTTTTTAAATTCTTCTGAAAAGAAAACTCCAATTCATGATTAACTATTTTAACTAACAAATATGAAAAAAAACAAAAAACAAAAACAAAAACCATCTTCAACCGACTCATTCCTGCTGTTTTCAAATAAACTTTTTTTTTTTTTTTGTTTTCAAAGGTAAGAATAGAGATAGAATGAAAATACTCACCAACATGTTTGTACAAAATCTTTTTCACGTTCTTTTTCAAGAACTTTCAAATACATTGCAATCATCTATTAAAATCGAGATTTGTTTTTAAAAAGAAATAAAAAATCTTATGAAATTACTTTATGTGGATGTTTAACATAAACACAAAAACCAAGTTCTTTTAATAAACGACGTTCAGCTTTGATAACTTCATTTTTTTTATCAATATAACCTTGATCAATTAATAATGGTTGAATCATACTAAATATATTTATTAAATTAATTTTTCATATTATTTATCTATAATAGATATTTACCTTCCGGATCGAACTTGTTTTATATGATGAAATACATTAACAACATCTCGAATACGTCGAGCATTTTCTTCAATTTTAGCTGCAAGATTAGTACAAGCCATGGCGACGATTTCCATTGAACGACGAATAAATGATGAAGAATAAAAATAACGATGAAATAGAACTTGACCAGTTGCTACTGCTGTCTAAAAAAAAAATTCAAGAACAATACAACATAAAATTAAATTATCTCTTTTTTTTAAATATTTCATAATTTACTTGTGGTAATTTCAATAGTAAACATGCTGTTTGTATAAGTTCACAACCGGTTAATCTTAAATCATATTCAACATCCCATGATAAACCTTCAATTGTTGATGGTGTTGAATTTGGATAAAGTTTTTCGGGTGGTAATAAAACATTACTTAATGTCAAAACGACACGTCCATATTCAGACATTATGTTTTGTAATGAAATGAATCAATTGATCTTTGTTTTTTTTTTTGCTCACTGACATATTGGATATTTATTTAGAGATGTCGCTTTTCGAATATTTTTTTTTATTTATCTTTCTGCATTAATGTGTAAAATTTCATTGAAACCAATGTATAAATATTTCTTTTGAAAATTGAATTGAATCATTTTTCTAACAGACTACTGGCTAATATGGACGATTTATTGGATGATTTCTATCAGGAATCCATTAATGCATTTGTTCGCGTCGATTAGAAAAAATTATAGGTATAATCCTTAGTAATTTTTTCGTTGGACTCATTTTTATTTGTATTATTTTGTTAGTAACTAGAATTATCTCGTTAATAGATAATTACAACCTTCTGCCATAATTTATCGATAGAGAGCGTCATCTATTAGGATTTTTAACAAATATTATTAATCGAAAAAATTGATCAAATGATAGTCGAAATTAATTTTGAAGAAGAGTTCGTACCCTTGGCTTAAATCTTCGGAAGATGCTCCACGTTCACAGTACATTTTAATTAAATGCTGTGGGCAATAGAAAAAATGGTTTTCAAATGTCATCAGTATTTCTATTATAACATATAACTACGGTAATATAGCTTGTTTTTAATAAACCGACACATTTGATGTTTGAAGTCAAAAGTCTTTTAAGTATTTGTTTTTGTAACGTCTAGTCAACAAAAATTGTTAATTCAATAGATAAATAACAGGAAATAGAAAAAAGAAAATATATACATTGAATTGACTTTCTTTATTCGAATGTAAAACTAGTGGCGTAACCAGGAAATGACCAGCACCCGGGCGGTGCCTCACAGGGTTTCAAAAATTTAATTAAGAGTAGTCAAAATTTCCATCGTAGAGTGATTAATCCTCACAATTTTTGTTCTCTTAAAAAGAGAGCAGAATATATCCAAGGCTGCGCAAATTAGGAGAAGTAAGAGTGATGACACAACCCAATTTGAACAAATTTTACTGAATGAGCTTCAGAATCTTTCATTTTTCTCGCTCAAGAACAGGGTGGCCTATAAGCCTTCAAGTTGAGGGAGGACCAACAATCTGTATGATCAATTGGGGAATTTTTTGAAAAATTTTCACAGAAACTACAGCGTTTTTTGCCAACTTTACGAAGGAAAAAGGAGAAAGTCGAAATAAATTTAAAAAAAAAATTGAAATTCTTTTTATTGGGAGGAAGCCGATCTAATTTCGAGAACTGACGAGGAGAAGACGTAAAATTCTTCAAAACAACAGTAACGTTCTAGAATTTTGCCTTGAAAAATCGAAAAGTTTCCATCAACGGAAGAGGAAGACTGCCATTCCTACACTTCTTTCAGTTTGGGCGGCCCTGGACTTACCAATTTTACAAATCGAATCCACTTTCTTCTCCAGGTGTCACCAAGAAATTCTCAATTTTTCCGTTTTCAGTTCTCAAATTTAGCTGGAAAGTGACCCATTCTCTCGAAAACATGCCCAAAAAAAAATAGAAAATTGTCTGCCCTAAACTTCAAGGCATATTCGAAGTCCTAAATGTATTTTCTTTTTGTGGAGTAAAATCAAGCAGAAAAAAGAAAAATGGACCATGTAAACAGAGAATAAATACTGCCTACTCATCCACGTGTCTAGCTTTTATCGTATTTGTAAGACTTACGAATGCTTCTCAGTGCTTTTGATTATGCAACAAAAGATGTTCCGATGATAGGTGTAATTTTTCTTTTGACCGGTGACCGGGCATGCCCACCCCTAGTTACGCCACTATGTGAAACCAGGTGATAATGTTTTCATGGAGAAAAATATTGTAAGACTTCGTAATGCCGATTATTCTGCGCCTCAATAAAATCAAATTTCTATGAATTTATTGAGTTTTTATTCTATCGGCTAGAATATATTTTGATTTGAAACGCGGAGTTCAAGATAATTAAGTTTTCTTCCTTGAACCTATTATCAATCGAACATTATTTTCTTTTTCTTTCTAACTCGAAATCATACTAGAACAAATACCAAAATGAGCTGACGAAGACAAATATTATCTTGTA